CTGAAGCGGAGCAAGTGAACTTAACCGCTATGCTACCGGGCTGGCCCTCAAAATAAATTCAAAACAGACAGAAAACAATTAAGAAAATGGCAAGAGTAAGTCCTTATATGTCAATGATTGCTTCAAATAGAAATGGATTAAATTCCCCAATCAGGGAACATGGAGTGTCCAAATTGATTAAAAACAACAAGAAAACGAAAAACACAAGATCCAATCATATGCTGTCTACAAGAGACTCACATCCGATTTAAGGATACAGCTAAACTGAAATTCAAGGAATAGAAAAAGATATTCCGTGTAAATGGTATTCAAAGGAGAGCAGGGTTGTCTATAATTAGACAAAAATTTTAGCCAAAACTGTCACAAGAGACAAAGATGATCATTATATAATGAAAAAATAATCAATCAATGAGGAAGACATACTAATTACAAATATATATGAGCCCAACATTGCAGCACCTAAAGATATAAAGTGAATATTAACACAATAGAAGGTAGAAATAGACAGTAATATAGTAATAAAAGGAGAATTCAATGGCCCACCATCAACAATGGATACACCATCCAGACACAAAGTCAACAAGGGAACCTTGGACTTGAACTATTCTTGAGACCAGGTGGCCTAACAGACATTTACACATTCTTCTTAAGCACACATGGAACATCCCCAGCCTAGATCACGTCTTAGGGCACAGAACCAATCCTAACACATTTAAGAAGATTGAAATCATATCAAGTACCTTTTCCAACCACAATGGTGTGAGACTAGTAATTAATAACAGGAGAAAAGTTGGAAAATTCACAAATATGTGGAAATTAAACAACACACCCTGAAAATCAAGAGGTCAAAGAACAAATAAAAATGAAAAATGAAAAAAAATTCTGGATACAAAAGAAAATAAAACACCATATACCAAAACTTTTCTGATGAAGTAAGAGCAGAACAATGAGTTAAATTTTGTGAAAACTAACTGCATTAAGAAAGAAGGAATATCTCAAATACTTACACCTAACTTTGCACTTCAAGGACTTAGAAGAAAAACATTTGCCCAACGTTAGCAAAAGGAAAGAAATAATCATTTCAAATTCTCAAACTCATAGAAGCAGAGAATAGAATGGTGGTTGCCTGGGGCTAGGCAGAAGGGAAAATGCAGAATTGTTGCTCATTGTGGATAAACATTCAGTCATGAAATATAAATCCATTCTTGGGATCTGCTGTATAACATGGTACCTATAGTTAATTACATGGTATTGAGCAGTTTAAAATATGTTGAGAGGATAAATCTCGTGTTAAGTGTTATTACCCCCCCACACACATACTCACCAAAGAACATAAGGACATTTTTGAAGTTATGCTTATATTTAGTATCTTGTTTGTGGTGATGGTATCACAGGTGTATGCTTATGTGTAAACTCATAAAATTGCATAAATTAAATATAAGCATTTTTGGTATATCACTTACAGCCAACCATAGCCTTGATTTCCAGGGTCATGTAGGCATTTAGAGACTGTATGATGCCCTCTGATAATCAGATTCAAGCTCCCTAGAGAATAATCAGGTATTCATTATAGAGCACCGTAGGATCATACTGGTACAAAATGCCCCAAGGCATCAGCATTAAACAATCCTTAAAAGGCAGCTGTTCCGAGGCTTCAGAGGTCACGTCCCAGGAGCTGACCAAGGGCCAGAAGTGAAGACAAACCTTTCTTTGGAATTTTTACAGTTAGAACAATGCAGGGCTGCTGTGTTAAGACTCTCCCACATGAAAGTCCAGATGACATGACAGTGCGTCTGTCAGAGTGGGGCCTGTCTCAGGAGAGAGGAGAGAGAAGAGATGGGCAAGGGTGGAATTCAAGAGCGCCCCTCATGGAGTGGAGGAGGTCGACTGACAGCCTGTGGAGGGACCAGCACACAGACCAGAGCCATGAGATCAACCAGGACAGTGGTGTTCCCAAGAGCCAAAGCAGAAGGGGCCACGCTGGGGTGTGTGGGGCAGTGGCCATGCACCACCAGTGGGCCGGGTGCAGTGGGAGGGAGAGTGACAGGTGTGTAGACTCGGGACGGGGCAGGGAATGTGGGCATTCCCACAGGAAGCTGCTTCAGAAACAAGCTTTCCCATGTCTCCTGCCTGGGCTTCCATCAATGCCGCAAAGAACAATTTGAGTGATTTTTCCCACCCTAACAAATTGACTGAATCCCAGAGTGAGGAAGATGTGGGGGGTTCCTAGGAGAGAAAACAGTGACATGACACTAACACCTCCTCGCCCTCACGCTGCCCTGCCTGTTCTCTGTCCTCAAAGCTTGGAGGATCCAGTCCTTGTTTTGTAGTGGGAGCTGTGCACAGTTCACAGGATCCTAAGATGTCCTGACTCACTTAGTGAAATCTGCAATGAATCTGGCATTTCCTAACAAGCTCTCCGTCTACTTCTCAACAATGTATTCACGAGATTTATACAGTAAATGAAGGAAATCAAAGGCATTACCAGTTTTTGAAAGGGAAATCTCACAACCTTAGCCATGTTGAGAAGGCTTTCTCTAGTTTCATCACCAAAGGAGTAGAGAGACAACACGACTGTCGGCATTCGAGTTCTGGACACGAGATTAAAATTCCCACATTGGCATATTACAGTAAAAATGAGGAACCCTACAATTTTCCATTTCCTGAGTTTCCTAGATAAATTCAGCAAAATGCAAAAATAGATTGTGACACATAAAAGGCAGCACTTTTCTCTGAACAATGTTAAAACTGAAGAGATGAGAAAATATATCAGGAGAACATAGACTGAATTGTTACACACATTGATGATGATGGTGAGGTGGAGAATGGAGCTGATAATGAGAGAATAACGGTATCCTAACTCTGCACCCATGTTCAGACCTGAGCAGCATTCACCGGTAAGGAGGCAGCTCAAGGTCTCCCCACTCCAGGGAAATCCTGACTCTATAAAACTGCAGCTGGGGTCTGTGCAGGCTCTGAGGGTCCAGGACCAGCTACCACCTCCCATTCTGCAGTCATGTGCATCTCAGTTCTTCCAACATGGGGACAAGGAAAAGTGCGGGTGAGGTCCAGTACTGTTCTACTCAAGGTCTCTGCATATGAGAGAAACCAATGAGTGTGCGGAAGGAGAATTATCACCCCACACTTACAGCTCCTCATGAGAAAGGCAACTCCGGGCCAGGACATGGCACAGATTAACGAGTAATGCATTTGAGGTTAATGTGGAAATTACAATTGTTTGCAGTCTTTGTGTTTACCTCTTTATGCCAAGAGAATCAAGTAGAAGCATGTTTTCTTATATAAAACCCATAAGCAGTGTGTCAGCCCTGAGAATGCACCTCCCTCACCTCCAACTGCAGGGCCACCATGGACCAGGCTCCCAGCTGATGCACGCTGATCCATCACCTGTTTTGATCTGAAGATGGGCATCCTAGAGGGAGCCCCAGACAGTGACTGAGCTCAGCAGGGATACTGAGGCAGGTCATTGCTGGTAGATGTGGGGCCCCTTGTTGGGCACCTTTGTCTCCATGGCAATCCCATGGTCATGCTGTACCTTCCTTGGTCAGCATGGAAGTTTCAGAATGTTCCACCCAACCTTCTGTCCCTCTCTCCTTCAATAGGGTCAGACTTGCATCTTGAATAACAGCTTCCACAGCTGCACCTGGCCTCTTCTATTTGCTCTCACAAAAATGAATGTATTCCTGGGGCTGGCCCGGTGGCATAGTGGTTTAAGTTCGTGTGCTCCACTTTAGCAGCCCGGGGTTCCCAGGTTCAGATCCTGAGTGTGGACCTAAGCACTGCTTATCAAGCCATGCTGTGGCAGGTTTCCCACATATAAAGTAGAGGAAGATGGGCATGGATGTTATCCCAGGGCCAATCTTCCTCAGCAAAAAGAGGAGGAATACCAACAGATGTTAGCTCACGGCTAATCTTAATCACACACGCACATACACAAAAAAATAATAGGTGTATTCCTTAAAAAAAATCCAAAGAGACTTAATACAGTCCCCATGTCTGCTTCTCCAGAAGCCCCTAATGGAGGCAACATTTCAGCAGAGTTGTTGATAGTGTGAACTTGCCTCTATCGGCAAATTTGAAGTACAAAATAATGTTGCCACTGGTCAGTTTCATGTGTCAATGGCAGGGCGATAGTCTACAGTTGTTCAGTAAAACACTAATCTAGGGGTTACCCTGAAGATATTCTGAAGATGCTAGCAAAGTATCTCATCAGGTGACTTCATGTCAGGAAAATTGTCCCACTAACCTGGCTGGGCCTGATTCAATCAGAGAACAGGAGAAGATGGAATTACATGGTGGACAGCAGATTCAGCTATTCCCAAATTTCCAGCCTCACCTCCATGATGGCCGACTCTGTGGACATTGGAGATGACTGGCCAGCCCTACAGTCATCTCCCCCAGTGCTCACAGCCCTCTGGAGTGCCTGTCAACAGCCCTCCCCAAAGTTAGAGGTGAGGGAGATGACTCTGTGACAATGTGAGCAAAGCAAGATCAGTTCTACATCCACACCCCATTCTGAACAAACGTTGTCCCTGGCCTACTCATGTGCACTTGCATTTCCCAGAGGAGTCCACACACAGAGGACAGGGGGAGGGTCCAGGTCAATGGTGAGAGAGAAAAATCCCATCAGCCTTTCCCAGGTGCTGCAGGAGCCACAGCCTGAGCCACACCTGAGCTCCAGGTAAAGGACCTGAGACCTGGGATTTAGATGATAGAAACCACATCCTCCCTTTTCTGAAAGCATAAGAAGTAAAGGGAGGAGAGAGAATAAAGCCTTGGGAGAAAGCAAGAATATGAATTTGCAAAAACAGAGGACTGATCAGTGCTGAGTGTGACATGCACAGTTTTGCATGAGAAGGAGGGACAGATGTGGAGTCACTAGGCATTACGGGTTGTCACCATCCTGGTCTCTCCCTTAGTTCCAGCCTGAATCCCAGTGAGTGTCCTAACAGAGAATCCCACTGAGGTCTCTGTCCTGAGTCAGGCTCGAAGAGACTCACCATTGTACTCCCTGTCCTCAAGATTCAGATCCTGGGGACCACTGGCAGAGTCACTTCTGTCCCCACAGGGGACACTCTGCATTTTGTGCAGGTGAGAAGGTGTCTTCCAATTACAATAACAACAGAAAAAAATTTGTATTCAGAGACTTCAAGGGTAGGCACAGAATCACAAACATAGAGAAGTTCCCTGAAGAAGCTGTAATGCGGGGAGGAAGCCGAAGACCACAACAGAGCCCAGCCCTTAACCTCCTGCACCTGCTCCTGGGGCTGGTCATGTGCTCAGTGAGTCCTGAGTGCCCCCTGCAGCCCAGCCCCTCCTGTCTCCTGCAGGGAGGTTTTGGTCTGGGCTCTCACTGACTTCCTCTCACTGTGTCTGTTGCACAGTAATACACGGCCGTGTCCTCGGTTCTCAGGCTGTTCATTTGCAGATTCAGCGTGTTCTTGGAGTTGTCTCTGGAGATGGTGAATCGGCCCTTCATGGAGTCTGCATAGTATGTGCTACTACCATCATAGTTAATAACTGAGACCCACTCCAGCCCCTTCCCGGGAGACTGGCGGACCCAGTACATAGCATAGCTGCTGAAAGTGAATCCAGAGGCTGCACAGGAGAGTCTCAGAGACCCCCCAGGCTTCACCAAGCCTCCCCCAGACTCCACCAGCTGCACCTCACACTGGACACCTGCAAACACAAAGGCATCCTGGTCAGGAAACTCTCACATAGCCACTGAATCTCTCACTCACATCCTCTCACATGGTCAATGTCTCTCGTTCTTCATAAATTACCTCTTAAAATAGCAACAAGGAAAACCCAGCTCAGCCCAAACTCCATGGTGAGTGGTCTGTGTTCAGCCCTGATCACCAAATGGGAACACCTGGGAATCCCGGGGCTGGGGCTCCTCTCCAGAGCTGCAGGGTCAGGGCTGGGCTGGTTTTCATCAGCAGAGGAAGGCCCCTATTTGCATGTCCTCTGACTATGTAGCAGGCTCTGCATGTGGACACCCACATAAAGGGCAGAGTCCCAGAGTGTGGAGTGTCTAAGGCCGATGCTTTAATATAAGCAGGTGAACCTCCTTCACTTTAACTTGGTCACACTTGGCAGGGGGAATTCAATGAGTGTGTGTTTAGATGTGAAGGGAGAAGTGGAAATTACCAAATGCTAAGCTTGTGCTCACATTGTCTTATCTTCGTTAGGGGACATTCTGCATATCCTTCAAATCTATTAGAGATGCCCATTGACAACCTTGACCTAAAGTTATGTTTTATGGCTCATACCTCAGAATTGAAAGTAAAAGTTATCAATTATGAGTCATTCAGGTTTTCATTTGTGCACAGTCCTTGACCTGACGTAAAGTGCCCCAGACTGCAGGACTTATTGCATTTACTAGAGCTTGAATGTAGCTAAAGACCAAACAGTGAACATGTATGGTGAGAGCAGGTACATTTTGGAGGAGTGCATGGCATTGTGGTGTTTTCTAAACAAAGTGATATCTCACCTCTTCTGGAACACACACAGTGATGGAAAACAAGTTAAGAAGCTTTTAGATGCGTGCCTGCTTCCTAGAGATGTGGCTCATATGCAAGAGGACACCCACGCTAAAAGAGCCAACGTGGAAGCTAAGGAAACGCTGCAGCACATCCTGAGCCCAAACACGCAGCCCTGACATGGAAATAGAGCCGTCTACACCCTCAAGGGGTAAATCTCTGGGGAGATGCACAGAAGCCATTGCCAAATACAAGCATTTAGTTCTTTGTTTTGAATTAAAAAGGAATGAAAAAACCTGAAGTGCCCCCTGGTGGTCCTGAGCACCACTTGGAGATCCTGATTGCCCTGCTCTAGACTTCCAGCTAACCCTTCCAGTCCATTTCCCTTCACTATTATCTCATATCTAAAGTATGGGATATTCAAAAGTTTTAGGGCAGCAGCTAAATGTAAAAATTGCATTGAATTCAGACAAAGCTGGGCCACTCCACTGTTTTTGGTGATTCAGAACAGCTTTACTGTGTCACTTAACTTGAGTGAACTCTTCTTCACTGAAACAGCTTCACGATCAGTTATGTTCAATGCTGCCATGAACTTGGATTTACTGTGTCAACCTGTCATACAGTTTATTTTGGGGACAAGGAAGCCATTTCTGTTGAAGGGTAATAATTTTTATCATTGTTGAAATGCCTGGCAGACCCTAATCTTGCTTCTTTCTGTACACATCTGAGTGTCTGCAAGAACACTCTGGACTCAGGACTCTCTCCTTGAGGGACAACATTCAGAAATGCAAACTCCACTCAGGACCACAAACAGAGACAGCTAGTTGGGGTCCTCAGCTCCCCAATATGCTGAGTCATCTGATATGTGGGGTCACTGTGTGACTGTGACGATGTGGCCTCCCACCTTGTGTTTCTGTCTGAAATGGTATAGATTGGAGATTACAGTGGAAACTTTATACGTAAACTGTGTAATAGGACGGCAGTGCTGTTAGATGTTGTCATCACTGCAATTACTGTTCCCTCCCTGGGAGCCAGAAAGGACCTGTGTGAGTCCTCATCTCTGATGGACACATTTGCACAAGGAACACGTGCTCTGCTCTTGCCCCACATGTCACACCTGTGTGACTGGGGCAGGTCACCCTTTCTCCATGCAGTGTCCTCAGCACTGTGTTTACTGACTTAGATCCACTTGTCTTTTTTTTGTTTTGTGAGGAAGATCAGCCCTGAGCTAACATCCGTGCTAATCCTCCTCTTTTTTTTTTTTTTTTTTGCGGAGGAAAACCGGCTCTGAGCTAACATCTCTGGCCAATCCTCGTCCCTTTTTTTTCCCCCAAAGCCCCAGTAAATAGTTGTATGTCATTGTTTCACATCCTTTTAGTTGCTGTATGTGGGACACTGCCTCAGCATGGCCGGAGAAGCAGTTCGTCGCTGTGCGCCTGGATCTGAACCCAGGCTGCCAGTAGCAGAGCGCGTGCACTTAACCGCTAAGCCACAGCGCCGGCCCGATACACTTGTCTTTGAGACCTTCCATATGCTTCATGTGGATCCTTGAATGCAGCATACTCTCTCCCAGCTATTCCATATTTTATTCGAGTGAATTAAATAATAAATCACTTATATGCCTGTATGTAGATGATAGGAGAGTCATCAGAAGTTGGGAATGCTGAATTAACAGGATACATATGGACCCTCTGGTTAGGGTCTAGAAAAGTGGGCTGAGCTGCTCTGGGACAGCAGAGGGGTGGAGACAGCACCCAACCTCCTGGAACAGGTGTGTCTGTTTCTCACCAGGGGTTCTCTGGTCCTTTAACCTGAGCAGAGAGATGAGAAGGGTCCGTCCTGGCCTTCAGAGGGCGTGTGGACCTGGATAGAGGCTGATATACATTATTGCTCACAGAGAATAAAATATAATAGGTTTGCATAGGTTTCTGTGGGTGTAGGTGGGTTGCTAGGGGTTGCCTATCCCCAGGAAAGAAAGAAATAGGTATGTGGGGCCAAAAGGAGTTTGTGACATTTGTGGACACTATGAATGACAACTGTGGCTGGACACTGGATTGATTCCCCTGTGAAGCGTTCAGAGGATAAACTCAGAACAGAGTGTGAACTTAGAGCATGTGGAGGCTACATATTTGAGGAGAGTGGAGGGTCTGTGTTGAGTCATTGTGGAAATAGAAGCCTGATCTGAACCGAGAAACAGAGCAGTGCTCCTGGGCTACATTTAGTTCAGATGAGTTTGCTGTAAGGAATATAAAGGAGTTTCATTGCACTGATTTTTTAGTTTTCATTCTCTAGTATCTCTTGGATGATCAGTTTCAAATATTGGGACTATAGAAGAAACTCAGTTAAGACTAGGCATTTTTCACTAAATATGTGAATAAAGATTTGGGAGTAATTAATTTTAGGTTACGGAAATTTTGTTTTTGACAACCTTCATGGCAATCACTACTAATTACAGCAATCATTGTAAAATAGCTCTCTAAGGTGTTAACTACGACTCAAATACCACACTGTCATTGCCTTCTGCAATCCTCTAGAAGGGCTGAAAAAACAGCATTCCTAAATTAGAATTATCAGAGCCTTCAGAAATCCTTGAACTCCCTTGTCCAGTGGAATTTCCACCAGCACTTCTGTCATTTGGGTCCCTCAAGAACACATCAGTTGTCTCCCAATGACATGGTGACTGGAAGGACCACGCATTAGAGATGTCTCCTCCAATACTAGCCTCTGCCCTATTGCCTTAAGACAAGGCAAATACTGAAAAGGATTCAGGGATTACCTCACTCCTATCACCAAGTGATTAAGACTGCCATTATACTACATCTGTGTAACAGCTTCCTATGGTAATCAGTTAATTCTGTCTATTGAAGAAACACAGGGAAAAACTGCCCTTGAACATCACTGAAGAACTCTCATCAGGAACATTTGACAAAAAATGCAGGAGGGCAAACTCCAGAGAGTCAGCGTTGGGCTGGTGTTTCACAAAGTCTGTTCCAGCTGCTCTAACAGAGTACTGTAGGGCGGGTGGTTGATGAACAACTGAACTTGTTTCTCACAGCTCTGAAGCTGGAAGTCCCCAGATCAAGGTACCGGCAGATTTGGTGTCTGGTGAGAGCCCTCCTCATAGACAGCTGTGCTTTTGTTGTAACCTCACATGGCACCGGGGGCAACAGAGTGTCCTCAGTCCCCTTCTATAAGGGCACTAATCCCGTTCATCAGGGCTCCCCTGTCACGACCCAGCACTTCCCAAAGGACTCACCTCCTGACACCATCACACTGGGCATTAGGTTTCAACACATGAGTTTTGGAGAAAAACAAACATTCAGCCATTGCAGCAACCAAATAGTCAGTCCATAATTCTACACTTGGAAGGCTACTGTAACAGAGAACCTCAAACTGAGGACTCTCACAGATCCTGGAGAAGCTTCTGATCCTTAGAAGCAGAAATGTGACCCAAGACTATCAGAAAAAGCTTATGATCTGGATAGTGGGCATCTTCTATCCAAGACATTGGACTAAGACCTCTGTCTAATTCTATGTTTTGTTGTTATTATTATATTTGTTGCTTGCTTACATATAAGCATTCTTCTCATTTTCTATGGATTTGAATTGTTATCTACCCATAATGTCCATTTACTCTTTTTCCACTCATTTTTTACAGTTGTTAAGTGGAATAAGTAGCCACACACTATTTTTGACGTTTGGCTGCTGACGCCTTAAGGCTCATTCCCCCTCTTCTCCTTCTGCCCACACCTGGGAAATCTGATAGGAAAGCTTGGGTTCTCCCTCCTTTAATGCTGATGGGAGATGCAAACCAGACAAGCCCCTTCTGTGAGCAGGACAGTCACCCCTCCCGCACCAGGAACCACAGTAAAAACCCTGAGCCAGTCAGCTTCAAGGCTCCATCAAGCCATTTCTGACGTGCTTGAGAGGGCTGTCCTGATCTCGGAAGACACCTCAGTAAGGGAGGTGATGAAACGTTTTCTATTCTCTATGTATGTTTGTGTCATTCTCAGCCTGGACATGCATGCCAAATTTTGGTGGGGGTCCCTCTGCCTTTGCACGGTGTCAACTGGTGTTGGTGCCATGAGCATGGTGTCACGCCAGTGACCCCCACCACTGGGGTCTTAGTTCTCTTACTTTGGATTCATGATGCCTCTGCAGCCTGATGTGCAGCCTGCACTTTATGCTGCTGCTTGCTGGCTGGTTGTGCACTGAGCTGTGCTCTGCTGCACTGTGGAATCAACAGAGTCACTGTTATAGATTTGGCTGACTGACATCAGAAGCTGTCATAACTGGCATTTGTGGACAGGAGTTATCAACGGTAAGTGACTCTCTGCCTTTTCTGTGTGTGATTATGTTTTCTCCTATTACAACATATATTTCTAATTCAGAGACTGAAGATGTAAACACAGAATCATGAGTACAGACAAGTTCCTCCGTGGAAACTGCTATATGGAGAGGAAAATCCAGACCCTGACAGGAACCCTGCCCTTAACCACCATCTGCTCCTGCTCCTGGGGAGAAACACAGAATTGGTGGGTCCTGTGCACCCTCTGGTGTACTGAAGACTCCTTGCAGCCCAGCGCCTCCTGTCTCCTGTGGGAAGTTTATATCTGAGCTCACACTGATGTCCCCTCATTGTGTCTCACACAGTAATAAACGGCCATGTCCTTGGTTCTCAGACTGCTCAGCATTAAACAAACCTGGTTCTTGGAGATGTCTCTGATGTTGCTGACTCAGGATTTAAGAGTTGGGTTACAGTTTGTGCTTCCATCGCCTTATATCATACCTACTGACTCCAGCCAATTTCCTGGACCCTGAATGGTCCAGCTCACACCATAGCTGATTAAAGAGAATCCAGAAACAGAGCAGGAGAGGAAGAGGGTCTGTGAGAGCTTCACCTGGTTGGGTCCCAACTCCTGCAGCTGCTCCTGGGGACATGGGGGATCATCTTCAGTAAAACACACCATGAACCACCTGACCAGGTCCCATTCCTGAAATCCCTGAGACACTCCCAGCTGGGAGCTGCCACCAGGCAGAGGAGCACCCCAGCACAGCCAAGCTCCTGTGAAGGGCTCTTGTGGGAAGGAGATGGGCAACTCAGCCCAGGGCAGGCCTTTCAGCCTGAGACTGGGGTCTGCTTTGCATGCAGGAGGCGCTGAGGACATACATGGGAGAGCGTAGGGAAGGTGTCTATCTGCCCTTCCCCAGGGGAGAGTGTTTTTCTTATTCGCCTTAGGGGACAAAGCTTCCGTGACAGTCTCTGCCTGGTCTTCCAATTTCCAGACAAGCAGGAGGAGTGGTGGGTCTACAGAGGGAAGAGCAGGGGAGCAGAGAGCAGGCAGACTTGTTGTAAATGGAATGACTTCACGTTCATCCAGAGAGTAGAGACCAGGACTGTTACCCCAGGGTGTCTGCTCTTTCCTGCACAGACCAGTGGGGATCTCAGTGTGTGGCAGGGTGGAACTTGTGAGGAGGGGCCTGTATTGGTGATGGGAAATGTATTATTCAGAAATGGCCTGGATTGCTCATCTTCCCATGCAAGATTCGTCCTCGACTCAAGGATATTTTTCTGACCTTGAACTCCATTTCTTGGGTCTAGGGCATGGCGACTAGCTCTATGCATTGTTCTCTCATAACTTCCTGGGGACATATATTTGCCTGTCTGAGGGGAGAGGCCCAGTAGGGACACTGTGTGTCTGAACTGAGCTAGTGTTTGGGGGAGACCTTTCCCAATTGTATTAGTCAGCTCAGGCCGCCCTAACAAGACATCACAGACTCAGTGGCTGGAATGTCATTTATCTTCTCACTGTTCTGGAGGCTGAAGTTCCAAGTCTAGGTCCTGGCAGGGTCGGTGTCTGGTGAGACCTTTCTCCCTGGTGTGTGGATGGCTAGCTTCTTGTGGTGTCCTCACATGGACTTTCTTCTTTGTGCAGATGGAAAGAGAGAGAAAGAGATCTTGTGTCTCTTCCTCTGCTTGTATGGACAACAGTCCTATCGAATTAGGACCCCAATCTCATGACCGCTTTTAGCTTTATTTCTCTCTTTAAAGGCTTTATCTCCAAATAGTGTCACATGGGGGTTTGAAATGTCAACATATGCATTTGAGTGTGGGACCCAATTCAATCAAGAACACAAATCAAGGGATGACGAGAATCCTTAGGATATTTTGTTTTTCAAAATGGACAAATAAGTCAAATAGAAACTCGATGAAGAAAAGGTCCTAGTGACTGGTTGCACCTCATTTGCAAACAAAGAAATGTACTCCCTCCTCTCTCACCTGCAGTGAGAATGTGAAAAATTAGAGCCACAGAGAACAAATTGATACCTGTTCCTGGAGGCACTAGAGACTTTGAGAGGAGAGGAAATTCCTGATCACAACAGGAAGCTCCTCCCCATTCCAACCCTGAACCTGCTTCTGAGCCTGGCCCTGTGGTCTGTGGGTCCTGTCAGACCCCTGGTGGTCCTGAGCACCCACTGCAGCCCAGTTCCTCCTGTCTCCTGCAGGGAGGTTTATGTCTGGGCTCACACTGACTCCCCCTCACTGTGTCTCCTGCACAGTAATACACGGCTGTGTCATCAGTGGTCACCGAATTCAGCTGCAGGGAGAGCTGGTTCTTGGACGTGTCTCTGGAGATGGAAGTGCGGCTCTTGAGGGACGGGTTGTAGGAAGTGCTACCACTATAACTTATTACACCTATCCACTCCAGACCCTTCCCTGGAGGCTGGCGGATCCAGCTCCAACCATAATAGCTGCTTGTAATGGAACCTCCAGAGACAGTGCAGGTGAGGGACAGTGTCTGCGAGGGCTTCACCAGTCCTGGGCCCGACTCCTGCAGCTGCACCTGGGACAGGACACCTGGGGACAGGAGAATCAGTCCCTGTCAGTCACGAGCAGTCACAACCATCCCCATAGACCCAGGTCTGACATCTGAGACACTCACCTTGGGGAGCCATCACCAGGCAAAGGAGAAGACCCAACAGTTTCATCTTCTTCTAGACCACAGCTCTAACTTCCCCAGAGACCTCAGCCCTGTCTGAGGAGAGAGTCGTGAGCTCCCACAGCCAAAGAGAGGATTTTACCCTCGAGCCTGAAGAGAAATTTGCATGTGGGGAGACTTGTCCTTATAAATGGGGCAAGACTGAGGTTAGTGTCCACAGTCCTTCTAGGGACGCTGTAGGCCTCTCTTCTCCTGACTGTAGGTGACTTTTGAGTCTGTGATGTGAGGACACTTGGGATTTGAGGCTCTTTTTAAACCGATTTGAGGACTCCCCATTTTTCTGAGACCAGAGTTACCTTCCTCCAGGCCTGCACCCCTCCTTCCCCACCTTGGCCCCAGCCTAACTCTCCACCATCCACTCAGGATCTGAGTCTTGACTTCTCCCATACTGAGCCCAGCACAGCTCCTGCTCTCTTTCCCTGTAATCTCTTCTCTGATGTGGTTCCCATCACACTGAGAGTTTGTTACCTTGTTGTATTGTTGTGATACATGAGTTCCAGGTGGGTCTTGTGCTCCATCCATCTTGTGCTCTTGGTATCAGAGAAGACACCATATGTTGAAAACTTCAGGTGGGCCCACAGGTGTCCTTGATCCATCACTCACCTGAAGCCAGCATATCATTACACACTCGATGAAATGTGCCCCACCCATGGTCAGCATTTATTTACCATTAGCCACAGGAGCAGGAATGTGAAATCCCAGCTGCCTTGTCTCAGGGGTGACAATTCTGAGCCATGTCCACCCCGCAGATTCCCTCTGCAGGGCAGAGTGAGGCTCCTCTCCGGGGATTTGTAGTCATGACACCTGTGCTCATCTCCTCCCATTTACCTGCCCTGTTGACCTCACACCATTGATTTTTTCTACTGGGAACAAGTCCTACCAAGTTGCTAGTACAAGAATCCATTTCTCCAATTCTGCAACTCAGAGTTGTACTAAGACATAGGCAGAGGAAGGGATTGTGGCCAGAGGGAATTGTTTTATAGAAAAATGTTATAACGATTATTTTAATATAGCACAGAATCCTTTTGTAACTAGGCAAGGAGTGGACAACATTCAAACAACCACCTTGTCAAAAATGACGGGGGCTTCCCTGGAAGGTATTGGGGTCTTACTTCAGTTGTCTGATTGGAAATTGCACAGACAACATTAACAGTCCTGAAGGCACAGGCTGATAAAGTAAACGTTGAGTGAGACAAGTAGACTCCACAGACAAATGAAAGAACGTTGAGGGACCACTGCAGAGACATGTCATGGGTTTTGCATCATGGTTAATCACCTCATCAAAATCATAGAAATGCATAAAAATGCCCAGAATCACTACCTTTTTTGAACTTATACTTTCATACAGAAATCCATGTTTTCATAGCAACTTTGGCATATATGTATATATAATTGTGGTAAAAGGGAGAGTCCTCATGACCGTATTCTTCTCCCATTGAGCGCTGTGGCGTTGATTTTATCTGAGTAGCTACGTTTTCCACATAGGCAGCTAGGAGATACCTCGTGGTAGAAGTTGGAGACTGTGCAATTTTGTCCAAAGCTCTGTGCACACACTTCCCCTTAAGACAGCCTACAATATAGGTCAGAGAACCCTAATTTCATCAGAAAGACACTTTTAAATGGAGAAAATGTAAAATTAAAAACAAAGGCTATGTATTGTAAAACTGAGCATCTTCCAAAATGGAAATGAGGATGGCAGAGGAGAAATTGTCCTATTTTCTCAGTATCTGGTGTTATATGAGAATTGGGGCTCAGAGGCAGGAGAGTAAAGATGGGACCAAGACATTGATTTGCTCGTAGGAAAGGAGAATGCAGACTCCCAGAGGAAACTCCTCACTCCCCAGCCCACCTCTGCACCTGCCCCTAAGTCTGGGTCCTATGTTCAGAGCGTCCAGAGAACCCCCTGCGGACCACACACCCCTCAATGGTCTTGATGCTCCCTCTTCCTGGTGGTCTCAGGGCCCTACCTCTCAAGGTGTCTTAGGGTCTGGGATGTTGAGCAACAAGAGGTCTGTCCTGGTGTGTCCTTATCACTGTTCCTCTACTCAAATATTTGTGATTGTTGAAATCTCATGTAGTGACCCTTCTGCCTTCCAGGATCATCCTCGTGTCCATCATCCGCGGTCCTCCTTCAGGTAAATCCCTGTCTTTCCGTGAGGATTTACCAACGAGTCTGCTGTCCTTTGGTCAACAATACTCAGTACAATTTGTATTGACTAAAGAACCTACAAACATTAACTTCCCAAACTTGAGACATCTACTACCTTGATTTCATTCTTTAAAGATTGTAACCTCTAATCCACCCCAGCCACTCAACCCAGGAGTCCTACATTAGATTTTCAGTTTCATTAGCTACACTAAGTTATCTGTCTATTTTTAGAAAGTATCCGCTACCCATAGCCATTGAAAAATCACAAAGCTAAGACTGACTAGAATACATAGTTTTGAGACAAAACTTTTTGAACACAATTTTATTAATATTAACATACAAGCATGACAATGAGACTTGCGGAAGTATAATATTAATATGGTCGGCAAAAACAGTTATGTGAGCAATGTCATAGTCAAGTTAGAGGATACTTCATTCACCGCAAAGAAACACACTGTTTCCACTTCTCGCCAATCCCTTTTCAGTTCCACAGCCCTCGGCAACTCCTGCTTGTCTAGATGCCCCTTCAGTTTCGCAGATCCCACAGTGTGTGGATGGAAACAACCAGTGTGTAGACTCTGGGGTTGGATTCCCTCAGGTAGGGTAATGCACGTAAGAGTCACCCATAGTCTTGCATGTATTGTCTTTTGCTTAAGGCAGCTGTAAATATCTGGGTGTTTGCGTAAACATATCTTTTAAGTTTTTTGATTGAGATATTATTGGCTTGCCAATAATTATGCATACTTAATGTGTACACCTTGATGAGTTTGGAGATAAGTAAGCACCCATGAAACCATCACCACAACCAGTAACATCAACGTAATCATCACCTCCAAAAGTTTCCTCCCTCTCTCCCTTTTCATGATAAGAACATTTAACATAAGACCTATCCTCTTAAAGAAACTTGATGTAAACAGTACAGTCCTGTTAAGTGTATGCACTGAACATCAGGTCTTCTCTCCCCAGTTATGTAACAAGAATTGGAGTTGTTGGGTCATGTGGCAAGTGTATGTTATACCTTACCAGAAAGGGGCAGAATTTCACAGAGTGGGGGGCATCTTTGCATTCCCAGCAGCAGCACCTTGCTCCATTCTAGTTCCCAATTAATATAGGGGAATTGATTACATCCTTTATCCTCTGGTACAAATCATGGGGATGCCTTGAAAACATCGTCATACCACAGGGAGCTCCTTGTTCAGAATTCCTGAGCAACCAGGACATGAGAACCGAGATTCCTCTCTAGACCCTGGGTTGAGCTACTGTCTGTTATTGGCTCAGGCTTTAGGCTTTGATTTTGGGAGGCTGTATCACTGTGTGCTGTGTGACAGCATCTATAAATTAGTGGATCTAGTTTGTGAATTCTTCTGGACAATTCACTTGAGCTGTTTTTATTCGTTCACATAGTAGATAAACTCATGTTTATCCAGGATAAAATGTGGGTTGACTAGGGTATTGCTAGCTTCATAAAACACAGATCTAAATGGGTGAAGTAGCTTACATGATATAGTGAATTAATCCTGTTCACCTTTGAGTAGGGATCCTGGACCATCCCCATGAGTAGTGGATATACAAATGTTCTTCCGGGGCTGGCCCGGTGGCGCAAGCGGTTAAGTGTGCACACTGTGCTGTGGTGACCCGGGGTTCACTGGTTCAGATCCCGGGCGTACACCGACGCACCACTTGTCAAGCCATGCTGTGGCGGCGTCCCATATAAAGTGGAGGAAGATGGGCATGGATGTTAGCCCAGGGCCAGTCTTCCTCAGCAAAAATAGAAGGATGGGCCGATGTTAGCTCAGGGCCGATCTTCCTCACAAAAATAAATAAATAAATAAAATGGTCTTCAGAATAAAATAAGAGGCTACTTTTGTGGGAAGATCAAAATGCTCATTATTCTATTCAACCCAGACAGAAATCCCAACACATGAGGTTACCAAACTAAAATCTCTAATCTTCTCATCGCATCTACTCTGTTTCTAATTCTTTTAATGCATATATCCTCAAATATGGAAAGGCATTACATCAAAGACCACTTACATGGGTCTAAAGCTAAAGTCACCCGCAGAACCGACTACACAATTTCAGGGCCCCATGTAAAATTAATCCGGGGTCTACTTTTACAAATTAAGAATTTAATGACTGTAAGAACAGAGCATTACACTTCTAAGTAAGGCACAATTCCTGTTTTTCAATTCTTTCCTGTTGAATAGCTTTAAAAGACTCCCAAATTAGGCTAAAGAGCCTAATTCTGCAACAAGAAAGTGTCTATTTTTTCTTGTAATACCCATTGGGTCTGATTCCATCAGATGTCCTGGTAAGCGATGTGGAGGTGACATGTCCCCTAGTGGTCACTCTGAGCCATGCAGGCTGCATGACATGGGCACATTATCAAGGTTTCTTTCCACTCTCCAATGACTTCAGGAGGAAGAGCTCTTATTTAAGGTCAGTGCTTTGTTCTAAGATGAGAACAGAAAGATGAGGACAGACAATGAGAGCACCGTGCAGTGCTTATAATGTCTTTTTTAAGTGTAAATATCAGAATATAGCTTGCTGATTACGTGTGCAAGTTTTTATGTGGTTAGTTTCTTAAGTGTACATTCAAATTAATACTTTTTAGACAATTTGTGTATAAAGAAAATAATATTTTTTAAATGTTTATACTGAGAGTAACACTCTATTACTCTCTATTCTTTATCTGATATCTTAAGTAGTACACCTAACTCTTTTACTTTTACTATATTATTTTTTTTTCCTAAATATATTCCAGTTGTAGATCCCTCCGTCAGTTTTACTTCATGTCTTTTCCATAAATTTGGCCCACAAATACTTGATTGTACATCGGAGCTGGGCACTGAGACACGAG